CTGCTCTTACATGTCAACATTATGGGAGGATGATTCTTGTCTGTGTTATTCCCAACATAATCAACAGACTTCAAATATTTACAGGAATATAGTAGCCACTCCACAAATATTTGTGAAATGAATGAAAGTGAAAAATGTTGCTTAGAGGAGCTATAAATAATTGAGTCTATGGAAGTCATGAATAATAGGAAATAATTCCCAGAGACCTATTATATATGTTAACTTCTCACTTTTTGAGATATCCTTTATGCTAGGTGTTTGAAAATTTAAGTTGGAAACATTACTGGAAAACAATGAGAAAACAAAACAAAATTTTTTAATAAAAACTAAAAAACAAAAAAAATTTATAGTAATCAACAGTTACCAGCATCACCTTATTTAAAAAGCTTTGGGAAAAGAATGCAAAGAGTAAATCATTGAGGGAACAAAAAATAGTCTACATGAGCTATAGTCACTTCAGTGGACTTCATGACACCAAAATCCTTTAAATCCAGCCTACTATATTTTTAAATCCATAATCCAATCTGCTTCTCCCTGCCCTCCTTAGAATGTCAGGATATCTCTATTTTTTACTGGAACAAGGAGCTGGTAGGCTCCAAACACTAAGAAAACAAGATGGAAAGTGCTTTGTTTGATATGTCCAGTTAAGAAAAGTCTATCTGTTGAAATGTTGCATTGTACCTTTTAAAATGTGCAAATATTACACATTAATTAATCCAATCCATCTCTACAAAAAATATAACCAATAGATGGAAAACACCAAAAAAGGAGAAAATACTGGCAAAGTAAAAAAAAAAACAACTATCAGATAACTTCTCTCTAACCACTTACATTATATAGCACAGCACATGAAGATATCGTTACCAAAAATTAGCATCAATCTTATCAATATATAATATGCCATTTTCACACAAAAACTAAAATGTGAAACTTTTTCCTGATTCGGAGAGAACCTCTAATAGGAGATGAAGTTCAAAGATTGATGATTTCCCAAGAAGGAAGCAGTCTCATGGCTACCCCTTCTTGGATAGCATGATTAAAATGAGAGAGATTTCTTTCATCATAGAGAACAAAAAAACTTTCACCTATTACCCAGCTGAGCTGAAACACATTAATTCTACTGGAGCATGGAAAATCCTAGAGTCTACTACTGTTGGTTTTCAAATACGTATTAGGCAGAAAATGAAGGGCATGGATTCCAGGTGGTGTTTTCATAATTTTTTTTCCATTTGAAGGTCATACCTTTGGAAGAGAAAAGGGATATGAAAATGAACAGGTGGTTGCTTAAATGGCATCAAAGAAAAAGATTTCCTTTTTTGGACCATTGTGCTAACAAAATTGCTAATGCCTCCACAAAGTACATCTCTTGGGTGCAAGAGAAGAACTATATTCATGACATTCACTAATTTAATCAAGCAGATTCTTAAATCTGAATATAGGTGGATGGCCTGGGAGTGGAGAATACAAATAATATAGTGAGTATCAAGTAAAAATACAGTGAGGAAAATTAGTTCTGCAAATGCTAACAATTTTTGAGGAAAAATCAGTAAGTGGATTTAGAAAGCAACTTGGCATTTTATATCTCCATATAATAATCCTGAGATTAAGGATAATAAGATTAATATGAAATCTTAACATAAAAGAAGGCAAATATAGATTGGTAAATAGAACTAAGTAACTCTAATGAAATGATACTGTGATTAGGATGAACAATCCTAATAAAAATTAGAGTGGACTTTTAGGTAAAAATTATATACAATTATTTAAAAATCCAATTAAAAGGAAAAACACTTAGAAAAGAAAATATATCCAAAGCACTTTATTTTGGAAACACTACCTCTTCCTAACAAACCCAACACATGATGAATTCCTGAATTGTCTCAGATTGATAATAATTTTCTCTTTCAAAAATTTTTTTTAAAGATTTGTTTTATTTATTTGAAAGACAGAGTTACAGAGAGAGGTAGAGACAGAGAGAGAGAGAGAGAGAGAGAGAGAGAGAGAGAAAGAGAGAGAGAGAGCTGCGCCTATCCAAAGCCAGGAGCCAGGAGATTACTCCAGGCTTCCACATGGGTGCATGGGCCCAAAGACTTGGGCCATCTTCCACTGCTATTCCAGGCCATAGCAGTCAGAGAGCTGGATTGGAAGAGGAGCAGCTGGGACTAGAACCGGTGCGCATATGGGATGCCAGCACTTCAGGTCAGGGCATTAACCTGTGGTGCCACAGCACCGGCCCCCTCTTTCAAATATTTTTAGAAAGAAGCTATGGTATCCTGGGGACTGGCACCGTGGCTCACTTGGTTAATCCTCCACCTGTGGCACTGGCATCCCATGTGGGTGCTGGGTTCTAGTCCTGGTTGGGGCTCCAGATTCTGTCCTGGTTGCCCATCTTCCAGTCCAGCTCTCTGCTGTGGCCCGGGAAGGCAGTGGAGGATGGCCTGGGTGCTTGGGCCCTGAACCCACATGGGAGACCAGGAGAAGCACCTGGCTCCCGGCTTTGGATCGGCATAGCTCCGGCCATAGCGGCCATTTGAGGGGTGAACCAACAGAAGGAAGACCTTTCTCTCTGTCTCTCTCTCTCACTGTCTAACTCTGTCAAGTAAATAAAAATAAATAAATAAATAAATAAATAAAATTTAAAAATAAGGAAGAAGCTATGGTATCTTAAACACAGGTACCACATTATATCCTATACAGAAAAATTTAAGAAGATAGTATTTTAAATGATTATATCATTTTCTGAAAAAAAATTCTTGTGCTTTCTGAACATCCATATTTGTCAAATACCTAAGTGTGCTTAGTTCTCTCAGTATTTAGAACAGGAAACCAACTTCAGAGAAAGAAGAAAAAGTACAGCAGTGATATCTCATCTCATCTCATCTCATCTCATCTCATCTCATTCTCTTAGAGGACATTTGGTGATGTCTGAAGGAGGTTTTGGTTGTCACAACTTCAGAACGGTACTAGAATCTAGTGAGTAGAGATCAGGGATGCTGCCAATATCCTACCAGGCACTGGACTGCTCCCTGTAAGAAATTCTCCAGCACATATGTCAAGAGACTTGAAGCTGAGATACTCTTCTCTAGTTAATACCATAGTTCCATGAAGCTGTGAGATTTTAATAAATTAATAAGCCACACATTATGATAAAGGGAAATGTTTATAAAGGGAGCCAGATTTCAGCAGGCCTCCTATCTAGTTCTGCTTCTCTCACATTCTTTTGTAGCAAGGAGGTAGAAGTAACTGTGGTAATCAGTGAGAGGCATGACAGATTAGGATTCAATTTGTAGGTTTGAAAACTACTAGCTACTGATCTTTCAAGTTCTTTTTATAAGCTTCATTTTCTATTTTTTACTATATAATGGAAGTAAAATAGTATGAACCTCATGAAATCTTTGGGCATATTAGGTACAATAATATTAGTGTATTAATAAGTGTGGGGCAAATAGAAGATTTTATTCATCACTATTCATTTCATTGGCTTTCTTTTTCTTCTTCTGTGGATTAACAATACTTCATCTCCAAAATAGGGTGATCTCTAAAATAAGATTTAAAAAAACCTGAAACTTGTTTATTAAATCCCTATGAAAAATAAATAATTAAAATTGAAAAGCAAATATATATTTAAATATGTATATGGTGTTAATTTCCAAAGAATCTTCAAACGTTTTATCTATGTAGTTGTCTTCTATCTTCACAACTATGGAGAGAAATAATACTTACCAATCATGTGAGTAGGAGGCTTACCTGCAAAAATTATGGTGACATGAAAATACATTTGATATATGACATAGCATAAGCCAATTTTTAAAATGACCTTATACTGGCATGATGATGATAATATTTGAAAAAATTTGGTGTAAAATATAGATGGTGGTTGTTTCATGGCTTAGCAATATACATTTTAAAAAATGTAGGCATTTAGCTGTTTTCATGTTCATTGTGAATCATTGGAATGTTGTGGCTCTGAAAAAAAAAAAAACCTCTCAAATGTAAGCTTAGAGACATTAAAAGAAGAGTGGTCACCATATCAATATATATAAATCCCTTATTCTCCTGAAGCCCTACTATTCTCAGAATTATGTGTTACTTTCTGGATGCCAATTATTTTAAGATTATGTTTGATGAGAATAATGAATAAAGATAAAAAGATTTGACTGAAAAGAAAATGATTCAATGAGCTGGTCACTTTTAACTTGCAAAACAAATATATGCAAAGATTCCATGACAATTATCTATGATAGTCATCTTCAAATATTGGAAAGGTTCTCATGCCAAATAACATTTTTGATATATTTTTGTGTAGGTGTGGCAAACTAAATTAGAAAAAATTATTGTTAGATTAACATCAAACCTCATGTCCACACTGTGTGTGTAATTGCCTGTTTTAAGGTCCTCTCCTACAATTAGAATATTCCAACCACAGAAACAGTGCCTTCTTTGACAAATAGAATAGGTTGGCTTCTGGTGGAATGATGAAGATTTGAAGTTTTCTATTAGCTTTCTTTCAAGTCTAGCATTTATTTATCACAAAGTTCAGAGGGGCAAGCAATTTGTCAAGGACCGGGAAATTACTTAATATCAGGAATAAAATTACAAGTAGGGATTTCTACTCTTCTTTCAATACAGGCTGTCAGTTATTCTTGGCAAAGTAGTTATGTAGTTGTGTACTGCATAACTTTGTTTTGGTCAGTGATGGACAGCAAGTGTTATGGTAACCAGTAGCAGCTTTATCCAACTACATCTCACATTTACAATCTCTTGAGCACGTCATCTTCTCTTGTGCTTGATTTTATTGAATGTTACTTTGTTCATGACTCCTAAGCATACAAAACCAAAGACTAATGTGGCCGGTAAGAAGCCGCATTGATTGACCTGAAAACAAAAGGAAAAATGAAGAGGGACTCTGAAGGTAGAAAATTGGTGATGACTACTATTCACCAGTCAATATGTCTCATTTCACCATAGCTATGCTCTTGAAGAACAAGAAGAAAGTAATGACTGCTTCTTGGCCTTTTGGCTAAGATGAAGTGAAGTGTCTGTTTTTATCAGTTTAATATCTGATACATCTTCTAATCAAGGACAATATATTGAATGGATTTTTGGAGCAGAGGGTTGGAATAAGAGCTTGCTCTGATATGGAAAAAGACAAATGCTAGATTAGGAGCAGTAACTGGAAACCAAACCTCCCCCACCCTATATAATCCTATCTACCTACCCATCAGTCTAATAGCCCTTGCCCAGTATTTATCTACCTTCCTCTGGCACCTGGGGGTGGTAACATAATCCCTCCCCTTCCAACTTCATAAAAGGCGTATAGCTGGGAGGGGCTTTCTCTCTCTCTCTCCCAGAAGATAAGGATGAGACAGGTTGCTGAGGAAACATCCCTGTACTTCCCTCCCCACCCTTTTCCCTTCCTTGTTCACTGTATTCCTGAACGATAACCACGTGTGTGTGTGTGTGTTTTCTTCACTTTTTAAATAAACTTTATCATTTTGTGTACCATATTTGTGCATATATTTAGAATGATTATGTAAAAGGCAAGGACCTGGAATAGGAATTTAAATCCCATCTTATGTTCAAAAGTTTTATGTTCATTCTATGCGTCTGTCTGGTATTGCAGTATCTTCTGGAATGGTATACACCTCTGGGGGAATAAAAAAGAACAAAGTGACAGAAGCTGACAAAAGATCTGCTTTGTCAAAGACAATGAGACAGACACAAATCTGAGAAGGGTCCATATGCAACCTGGAACAACCTCTAATGACCTTGCCTGAAGACCAAAGGTAGGAAGGTATTCCTCTTAGGACCACGAAAATCACGGCCAAAGCAAAAAAATCTTGGTATTGAAATAAAACACTGGACCGGAATAAAATATTGAATTTGCTATAAGCAGTTTAAATTTTTCGAAAAGCATTATTCACTACATAAGATGAAAATGATCAGTGAGTCTTTGAGTGCTGAATAAAAGCAGTTGAAGAATTCTGGAAATCATAGGTAAGCTGATTATGGAGGAAAATTTTTTGTGGGAACAAATCTTTATTGTGGATGTAACCTGTCTATCATGCAAGCAAATGACTGATTGGACTTTTGTCCATGAGGAGTTCAAATCAATGCCAGGATTCAAGGTTTCTTAAGGATAAGAAAATAGTCTTATTTTGGAGCAATGGTTAAAAAACCCTGTATTCTGGCATAGTGCGAACTCCAGAATTTCTCAGTGTATCAATAAGCATATACTGCCAGTAAGGAACAATGAGAAGTTGAGGATGACCCATCTACTCTTCAAGACACCTTCCAGAATTGTTATACCCTTGTGAAAGGATGAAACATGGTGTGGAGAATAGCATATCTTTCAAAATTTCACTTATTGCTAATAATGTTTCTACAAATTTTCCTTTTATTGATGATCTTCCCAATATCAAAGTGATATTTCTCCCAATCAATGGGCCAAGGAGTTATAACAGCATCCAATATCTACTACTTGTAAGGATATTTTCCCAAGCTATTGCTAGGACTGAGGAACACAAATTCTAGGGTTACAACATCTCTGACTGCATCAAGTAATTTGTTTGGGCTTGGGGTGATATTGAAATTGGAGAAGACCCCCTAGAATTTACACTGAAATGTGGCCCCATAAAGTTCCCTAGAAATGCTACCCGGGGTGCCACATGTGCTACCAGAATTTGGGGTGCCATACGATTTCACCATGGGCTTATTATGAAATCCCCAATATTAATAAGCCCAAGAGGGTTCTTGCCTAATATTCAGAGAAGAATTCTAAATACTGGCACAGATAAGCGAGGAAGCATGGTACACTTTAAGCTTTTATTTAGTGAAAAAGATGCATAGGAGAGAGAAAGCTTTATTTAAGAGAGAGAGGTGAATAGGGGTTCATACTGAGCACCAGGAACCAGCCACGTGGAAGAGCATCTAGGCCTGTATCTGGGCCAGGAAGCCTAGAGCACATGGTCCGAAGGCCATGCACCCTGGAGGCGCGGGGCTACAGCAAGCCCCCTCCTGACAAGAGGCCAGGGAAGAAGAGAGCTGGCCAGTCCATACCGTTTCCTGGCTTTTAACCCACGTCCAAAGGGGAGTGGTTAATTAACCTGATTGGCTGGTGGACACCCAGGTGTGGCCAGGTAGGGGAATGAGGTCACATAGGGGCGTGGCAAAGACATGGTCTTCCAGCTCACAAATCTAATCAATTTTAGCCTGTATGCCTGCCTACTTCAATATCACCAAGAAAGGAATAAATGACACCTGGCAAAAGGCACTCAAGTGATTCTTCTTTAAACTAAAAAGGATTTGCTACAGATGAGTTGCAAAAAAACCAACAAGGCATGGTTGATATGGCAAATGATTTTAGCCTGGGAGTGGGTGAGGATAACACTGAGCCATGAGCACAGGTGGTTCCTGAGGAGCTGGCTAGTGAGCAATTGTTGGAACTGGACGAGGAGGGCAAGAAATAAGGAAATTGCAAGGAAACAAGTCTCAAGAAAATACACAGTGAAGTGTTTAGCAGAAGCATTTGCATACCTCAGTGTCCTTAAAAGGTTTAAAAACACAGACACCACTCTGAAAGGTCTGAATAGAGAGAACGATTCCTGGTATGTTGTCTGCTTACAGGTAAATCTATGACGAGAGACAACAACAACCAAGAAAATCGTCATTGACCTAAGAGGAGAATTTAGATGATCAAATACTTAACATTGTGTTATAATTTCCTACATTTAGCACAGTCACATGCTAAACAGTTTTGTAGCTTAAGAGCAACAGACCATGCCATATGGCCTAGTATCTAGTAGTCTATACTATCTAGCTACATTCTGATGTTTGTGTAATAACAAGCAGTACTAACACCATATTTCTCAGAATCTATCTTCATTGTTAAGCAATGCATAAATGTATATGCCTATATATGTATACATCATCATTCTGCTTCTGTGTCCTATTTCAAATTGCTATATAAATTGTGATGAAGGTAGAAGTGTGTTTTCTTGATTATAATAAGTATTCAATATATGTTTTCAATTTTCAAATATTAGTTCTACCTTAACTACTGAACTGTAACCACGAGTCATGCTTCCAAATATATAAAGGATTAAATGAATATATTATAATTCAATAGACTATATACTATACTATATTAGCAGGAATATTTTAAGTTATTGGACTACATTAGTCAGTAACAAAGCTAGCTTTAGGATTTATGGCTTTAAATAAGTTGTTTCAGTGAATGAATGAAATACAAGATGGTTGAAAAAAATAACTTCTTGATGACTCACATTTATTTTTGAAATCTACAGACATGCTGTGACAGAGAAATAAGCTTTTACAATTCCCTTTAACATCTCTCTAAATTTTAGATAACTGTGTATAAATATTACTCTAATAAACCAAGCAGGAAATAAATGTCCCTCCCATAGCTCACAACCTCTGGACCATAATCAAATTCAATGAGTGAAAGATCTATATCCCACATCAGGTTTTAAGTCATTCAGTTCTCATAAAATGCCTGCAATGTGATTATAAAATGAATTAACCATAATCTTTACTGAGGTGTCAGTTGTATATATTTAATTTTGTATGTTTTTAAGGGCTAATAAATCAGATGAACAGAAATATATGCCAAAAGTCATAACAATTTTTACACTCAGCTGAGGTATGTTTTCTGTTACTTCAATAAATAATAATTTAGCCAAAGTTTCTGCCAGTGAAACACTATAGTTCTGCCAACATCCTAAACACAACAGTAATTAACATTTAAGTCTTTAAATTATTTATACCTCTCAGTAGATGGTCACTATGTATTAGCTAAACATGAATGAGAAAGCATGAAACTGAAATAAAGCTACTTTTAAGTATTCGTAAAAATAGTCTTCTGTAGTTTTTATCTTATTGTGTAATTAAAATGTCGCTTTTCATATGTAAATTCAGAATATTAACAATAATACCTACTGCATTTGGCCATTGTGATAATAGAATAATTAATATAAAGTGCTTAAAATGGGCCTGGTACATAGAAAATGTTTAATAAATTTTAGTTTACCATTGCTGTTGCTACTGTTACTATTATTGATTTTTAACATTATCCCTCATTTTTAAGGAAAAGTTTATGTATTTATTGAGAGAGAGAAAGACAGGCAGATAAATGTTCACACAGTTTAGGTTATGTTGTGGCTGATATTGGAAGCTGGGACATCAATCCATTCCCCAGTCTCCCACATGAGTGGCAGTTTGACCACTGGACCCCAATTTGACCATCACCATTGCTTGTAGGTGTCTGCAGGAACCCAGAATCAGGAGCCAAAGGTGGCATCCTCTAACATGTGATGCAAGTGTCCCAACAAGTCATAACTGTTGACCACACGCTGCCCCATCCTGCCTTCTTTTTATATCTCTTTATTTTAAAAGCATAGAAGATACATATTTGGTTAAAGGGTATAAAATAGAATCTGTTTCCTTTTTTTCCACATGAAAATAGAGAACTACTCCCCTAACCAATTACCTAGCACATAGTTATGTACAAACACGTAGATATCCAAAAGACCTTGACTTACATGAGACCTTTTATGAAAGCATCAGTTCACACGAGGTAAGTGTTTCCTGTACTGACAGGGAAGCCTGATCACTCACGCTGTGCTCCTACACAGCACTGCTACAGGCAGGATCTTGAAACATTGCTTGTCACATGAATGTTCTGGGAAAAATAGAAACGAAGAAGTAAGACCTCACAAAGTCTCAATATCAGGCTTGGGATACAGCACATATGAAGATACTTTGCAAAATCCTGTGTTATAATAAATTTCATTATATTGAAGGTCATCTGGAATTTCTTTTATTTTTTGTTTTTTTGAAAGGAGTGTCTGATCTCATTCCTGCAGCTACTTCCCCTCTATTATGGACAGTACTGGTGGAGCTGTAAATGGAAGGAACCCTTTATATGTAAAAGGGGTGGTTAGTAACTCAAACCAGCCAGCTGAAGGCTGTTTCCTATGGGTTTGAATCTTAACCTGCATAACCTACGGGTTGAAACAATCAACCAAAAGACAGTTGGAGCTTATGCATTTCATGGTGCCTCTCTAACAGGAGTTTTGATAAATTTTTTCACTCAAACACTGGCTTCTGTATTTTATAAGCCTATTCTTTATTTATTGTCAATTCTTTGAGCTACCAGATACACTTCAATTATAATCTTCT